AGGAGGAGGAGGAGGAGAAGGCGGAAACGGGGGAGGATGAGGAAGGGGAGGAGGAGGAGGATGAGGAGGAGGAGGAGGAGGAGGAGGGAAGGAGGAGGAGGAGGAGGACGAGACGGAGGAGGAGGGCGAAACGGATGACGAGGAGGCGGTTTGGGACGATAATGTAGATGATGAGGAGGAGGACGAGAGAAAAAAAAACAGGGAGGACGAGGATGAGTAGGAGGAGACGGAGGAGGAGGAGGAGGAGGGGGAGGAGGGGGAGAGGAGGAGAAGAAGGAGGAGGAGGAGGACAACGAGGAGAAGGAGGAGGAAGGAGGAGGAGGAGGCTGAAGACAAGGACAAGAAGGAGGAGGAGAAGGAGGATGAGGAGAAGGAGGAGGATGAGGTGGAGGAGGACGAGGAAGAGACCCCCGCGCCCTCGCGCTCCGACGGCCACGCTGCCGACGCCGACGGACGCACAGCGCGGCTATCTGGCGCCACGGGGAGGGGGGGCAGCAGAGTGTGGGGGTGCAACCCTCGCGAAGCTCGAGATATCTGGGCCTCCTCATTGGCCCGAGTGGACACCGAGCTTGGGAAAGCTTGGGATTACGGCCCTGGTCCAGAATATAAGCACCACGCTCCAGACAGATGAGGACGCGCCCATGGCAATCAGCCTCGTGGCCAAGCGCTCGGAAGGCCAGCAGCTCCCGCCCGACCGCCCCCTCCCCGTCGCCCAACGAAGGAGGGAAAGGAGAGGGGTCAAGGCCTTCGCTCGCAAGCCGCGTAGTCCTTTGCAACCTGTGCTGGCCCGATCTGAGCTGGCTCTGCGTCGGTCTTTTTCAAGTGCGATAACTGCCCCACTTGGCAGTATGAGCTCTGGTATGTGCGTCAATCGCCGCCTGCCGTCGACAAACACAACGCAATCTTCAACGGCAATAACTCCCGTTTTGTCAACAGCATTGCAGTCGAACTCCGCCGACATTGGCTGGTTGAAGAAGGTCTGCGCTGGTTTTTGTAAACGTCCTCGCGCAAGCTTCTCCTGCGTGGACTAAGGCAATTGCCGAGTCTCAGCAGCTGCTTGCCGAACAGGGTCTGGGATCAGCGTCTAGCTCTGCCCTGCGTACGCATTGCAACAAAATAGTATGTGGAATCGAGTCCCAGGAACTATCCCGCATCTGGTACAAAAGGTGGTTCTGATCGGGACATGCTCGTGCTACCCTGGCCAGACACCAATGACCTCCTGAGCAAAGTCCTCTCAAAGATCGTCCCCCCCCATGTGGGGAAAGTCTCCGTGATCTCATGGCTGCCTGCAGTGTTCCCAGCGAAGTGTCGCCGATCCTGGTGTCCTCATCCGCACCATGCAGCCCTCTAAGGGCTTCTCGACTGATTTGTCGCTGCGCGCCTTTCTTGACCAACACTCTTCCCTCATCGTCTCTAACTTCCGAAGCACTATCAAGCGCCCACCCTATGCTATGCAAGGAGACTGCCAGCGCTGCCAGAAGGGTTTTCGACTTTGTTCCAAGCAGTCGATCCTGCAAGCAATAGTGGACGAACTTCCACTATCAGATGTTTAGCACCTTGAAACAAACCATGCCAGCTGCGAGGAGGGTGAGGGAGGTCTGCATCGCGTCGGCCGTTGCAATAACGAACGAGTCTGAGCGCCACTCACTCTCGGAGAATTGTAAAGCGAGGCCTACGTGGGCCTCTGGTTCGTACCTTCCCGCTGCGTTCAGACAAAAAAACATCTGAGCTGTCGTACGCGGCAGTTCGGGACCCCAACAATACTGCAGCCCCGGAGGCTTTGTGGGCCCCGGAAACGGCAAGGCCGTTTTTTGCACCGTTTCAAACAAATGTCCCTTGAAAATGGAAACGGCAAAAAAAGGGCGACCGGAGACGGCAAAAAAACGGCTCCAAGATTGGAACCAGAGCCAGAACCGGTCAAAAAACGGCGACGGAACCGGTACAAAAACGGCGTCGGAACCGGCAAAAAAACTGCAAACCGGAACTGGTAACAAAACGGCTCTATCGTTTCCAGGGCCCAAGCCCAGAGGCTCTTCGAGAGCACGCCAGCACGACGGACAGCAGTACGTTTCACTCAAGGCCCTGCAAGGCCTGAAAACGATCGCCCTTCCGCATGGCCTCCTGGATCCTACTCAGCTGAGTCCAGGTAATCCACCACATCCCCTCCGAAGTCTCTGTGGTACTTACTGACCATGCATCAGGGAAGGAACGTGATCGGGCCAAAGATATCAAAGGTCAGCGGCGATGTCAAAAGACACCTTCTTGTCCCTGACGAGCAAGCCGAGGGAGTAGGAGGAGGAGGGGAGGATAAGGAGGAGGAAGAGGAAGGGGAGGATAAGAAAGAGAGGAGGAGGTGGAAGTGGAAAAGGAGGAGACGGATGAGGAGGACCAATGTCGGTGGTGAGCGAAGGGGGAAATGAAAAGGAAATCTCAGAAGCCCTCCGGCCTTCTGAAAGGCTTTCTGCATCTTCGGGGTAGGCTTCAACATTTTGCAGAAGGCCGGGGGAATTCCGAGCCTTCTGAGAAGGCCTTTTCCTTCTCACTTCCCCCCTCACTCGCCGCCGAACGGGGGCGGGAGAGGGGCGAGGAAGGAGGGAGGAGGAGGAGGAGGACCATTGCAATAAAGGCCCGGAGAGGCCCGCGAGGCCCTAAGAAGCCCCCAAGAGCCCCCCAGGCGGCGCTAAGGCAAAGACGCAGCTTGAAAATAACCCACCCTCCATCATTGAAACTGCAACAAACTTTTAGAACGAATGCACTCGATGCTAAAACGATAATCACATTTCGGAAAACATCCACCCTCCATCATTGAACCTGTCGCACACTTGTTGGACGAATGTGCGCGGCGCTAAAGCGAGAACCACATTTTGAAAACGGCCCGACCTCCACCCGTGACACAGCTGTAGATTCCCAAAAACAGGATCATGCATGGTGAAGAATTCTCTGGCAAAACGCCGGGCCCGCCCTACGCCTGGGGGTGCGACAAGGATGAGTCGTTCATGAGGACAAGGGGTGGAGGAGGGGGAGGCAGGGCCACGTCCACGCACGGACGCCGATGCCGACAGCGAGAGCGACAGGAGGTTGAGGAGGAGGAAGCGAGAGCAGGGAGACGGAGCAGGGAAAAGGAGGATGAGGAGGAGGGAGAGGGAGGAGGAAGAGGGAGGAGGGGAAGGGAGGAAGAGTCGCCGCCTTTTTAATCGGCACTGGACCGAAGGAGCGTGCAAACGACTTCCGCCTTGCGTGGCGTTCGTGTTCTTCAAAGGTCTCGCCGGGCCCCCCCGTCCATGCAAGGAAGCCTGTCGGCACCTACTGCAGCCGTGCCAACGAGGGCGGTCCGGAAGGGCCTAGGCAGCTTGCAAAACGCAGCAACAAAAAACGGTCCTGCCGTGATTGTTCCACAGCGCGGGCCCCGCAGCTCTGGACCCTTGGCGAGGATCGCTGTTTCGTCCCGAACCGTTCTGTTGACAGTCCTTAGGGGAACAATAAGTGACATAAACATAAAAACTCGGAGGTCCGCGCGGATTTCTCGGATCGGCGCTGGACCCCCCTCCCTGGCGCGCAGAGCGCGCCAAGGGCGGCGCCGGAGGCGCCGCCAAGGGGGTCCAGCGCCGATCCGAGAAATCCGCGCGGACCTCCGAGTTTTTATGTTTATGCCACTTTTTGTTCCCCTAGTCCTGGTGCCAGTCGAAGGCCCCACAAGGCAGACAACGGACTTCACGTATGTTTTCCATACGCTCGGGGCTTTGGACTTGGAGGCGGCCGCGGGGCCTGAGATGGTTGAGCCCCGAAAACTTAGCAAGAGGGGGGCAGGGGATGAAAGCAAATCCGCTCGAAATCACTCCCTGGGATCCTCCGGGGGTCCATCTGGTGCATGTTTTCACCCTGGATCCCGGTCTGACAGCTTCGGGCCCGAAAACAAGCCCCGCATACCGAAACAGGCCAACAACCTTCTCGAACCCAAACCCTGGGACCTCGCCCACCCCCCGTCCTGCTGACCAGGACCCACGCTGGGCCGCCTCGGACCCCAAGCCGACTCCAACTGCCAAGTCTGGACACTCCTGGCCGCCCCGCAGGTCCTTGTTGGGATCGTGGTTGACCTCCCTGTAGGCCTGCGGGCCCCGCTGACGAGGGCTGGGGGGGGGGGGGGCAGACGGCAGATGCCAGGGGAGGCGCGCGGAGGACGAGCGGGGAGCGGGGGGAGGATGAGGAGGCACGCGAAGAGGGGCAGGAGGGGAAGGAAGAAAAGGAGGATGAGCAGCAGGAGCAGGAGAAAGAGGACGAAGAGGAGCATGGGGTTTACCCGTAGGTGGACATTGTCCTCAGTTCAAAACTATGGGCCCCCTTCCTTGGCGTGGCCGCTATACGGCTTGGGAGACCTCTTGTTGACAGGAAGAGGAAGAGGATCAGGAGGATGAGGAAGGGGAGGATGAGGCGTCGCAGGAGGACCGAGGATGGGGAGGACGGGGAGGAGGGGTGGCAGCGTCTACCGCAATCTCCCCTCCCACAGTGCCAGCTTCACAAGGAGGAGGGGGAAGAGGGAGGCATGCGCAGACTTGGTGAGGAATGAGTGGGAGGAGGAGCAGGAGGAGCAGGAGGAGCAGGAGGAGCAGGAGGAGGAGGAGGAGGGATGGATAGGACGTCGTCAGAGAGGCCCTGGCGGCCGTCAGCGCGCTGACGACAGCCAGGGCCCCAGATGTCAAAGCGTCCGCTAACGCAGCGCACGGGCGGGTGACCTCTACACCGCTGCGTGCGCGCCGCCACCCTGCTCAGGGCACGGGAGCCGAGGCGACGAGGAGCCCCCAGACCGAAGCCCAGACAAACTTCCGCCCCGATCGCGGCCCTCCGCCGGAGGGCCAAGGCCAGGCGGAAACCATCCCCGCGGGGACAAAAACGGGCAAAAACATAGCAGCCGCCAGCGGCCGCCCAAACCGCACAGGAAGCGGGACCCAGGCGACACCACCCCCGAAACCCACGCCGAGGAACGCCGCGCGAACCAGGAAATCGAGGAGGGCACAGCGGACCAGAGCGGGCCCTGTCACCTCCCGCACAACGTCTGTCTGGCCCGCCTGGCCTTGGAGACGAGAGCGGACCTCTGGGCCGCGCGGAGCTGCTCGAGCTCCGACAGCGTGCGCTGGAGTTCTTCCAGGTCTACGGCCTTCTCGTCGAGGCACGCGGTATGGAAAAAATGGCGCTGGAGGATCAACAGCCTCCGCGGTCCTCCCGAGCGCCTCCGCTCGTCGTGCGGGTCCTCCACCTCGTTGTCCTTCAGCGACTGCAAGGCCTTGAGGATCAGGACGCCTCATTCGGCCTCCTCGCCCTCTAGCGCCGCCGCCGCGAGGCCAGCGGGCTTACCCTGGGGCTCCTCCACGTCGACCACCGCGAGCATGGTGTCCTCGCAGAGGTCCTCTGCCCAGCGCCGACTGGGGTCCGTGGGGGTTGCTTGCGCGGGCCCCCCACCGCGCCTGAACCGACAGCGCGTCGCCGTTGCACAACTCCTTCGCGGAGGCGTGCTGGGGACAGCCTAGGTTCTTCACGATGCTCCGCGGGTTGCCGAGGGCCCCCTGTGCGCACGCGTCCGTGGAGCTCACCTGGCCGTCCACGATGCCCTACTTCGCCTCGACGGCGTTCAGCTGCCTGCCCTGGTCCTCCGCGGGGCTCAGCAGGAGGGCGGTCTCCTGGGCGTCGACGTCGCACTGGAGCTGCTTGACGTTGCGCGACTGGGCCTCCCCGACGATGTGCAGGACAGGGAAGGCGGGGATATCCATGAGGAAGGCGATCTCGTGCTGCTCGCTCATGGTCTTCTCAAGCTGCGCGATCTTGAACCGCTGCTCCTCCACCATGTGCGCGAGATCTTGCGCCTCGTGCTCCACCTGCTTGATCCGCTCCTTGCACACAATGTGCGTCTGCTTCTCGTGGTTCAGCTGCTGCACCAGCTGCTCCTTCTCCGTGAGCATGTCCCTTATGCGCTGTTGTGTTCTCTCCTGACAGCCTGCAGTTCCAGCACCTGCTCGCCCAGCAACTCCCTCAGGGTGGACTTCTGCTCGAGTTTGCCCTTTGCCTCGCTGGGCTCCAGCACGTGCGTCGTCACCTGCATGCCGAGCTCTAAACGGTGTGTGGGGCCAGCCTCCTCGAACTTGCCGTCGCTGCCGAGCACCTCCTCGATGTCATCTACCTGCAGGCCCGCCCTGGGCACCGCGCTATCCTCCAGCCAGCGCCGAAGACTGGCGACGACAGCGTCCGCCTCACGCGGATGGCGAAGGAAGGCCGCAGCCCCGTCGAGCGTCCTGCAGCTCCTTTCGAGGGCCGACAGGACCCGCCTCCCTCGGGCGCACGCTTCAGCGAGCCCAGCGGCCAAGGTAGGCGACCCGAGCAAGGCCACCAGCTCCGCCGCCGCATCGGGCATCGTCTGCGCGCGGTCGCCGAGCGCCGAACGGGCAGAGGTAGCCGCCGACGCCGCGCTCGCCACCGCCCCAACTGGCGCCACGTCTGCCGCCACGCACCGGGCCTGCACGCGCAGCCGGAGCTCGGCTGCCTTGCCGACAGAAGCGCCCGTCACGAACGAGGCACCACGGCGCACCGAGAGGCCGCCGCGCCCGCCACGACCCATCGCGCGGCCGGAGCTGGCCGCGCGCACCCGCGGGACGCGGCGCGGCTGCGGCGCACCAGCGAGCGCCTCCGCTTGAGCCAGAATGGCTACGGAGGAGGAGAAGGAGGAGGAGGGACAAGAGGACGAGGAGTAACTGTGGGAGGAGAGCCAGAGGCGGAAGGGAGGCGATCCTCAGCACGGGCGTGTTGATAAGGGGTGCTGGAGGGGGATGTCCCCTCCACTGCCCCACCAATGGGCCCCCTTGCGCCACGGGACGCCAGCCTCGGCTTCTGCTATCAATCCGAGTACTCTATTTTTGCCCCCCGCTACATCTTATTCCGTCCTCCTCCTCATCCTCCTCCCGTGCCTTCTGCAGCGGCAAATGCTGTGCATCCTGCCCCAATTCCTCAACTTCTTCCTTCACTTCTTCCTCCTCCTCCTCCTTCTCCTCCTCCTCTGCCAACTCCTCCTCCTCTTCCTCCCCATCATCATGAGCATCATCGTCATCATCACCACCATCATCATGATTATCATCGTCCAAAATCATCCTCATCATCCTCAACATCATCCTCATCCGCGTAATCATCATCAGCAGCATCGCCATCATCATCATGATCATCATCCTCATCAGCATGAGCATCAGCATCATCATCATGAGCAGCAGCAGCAGCAGCATGCTCATCATGCTTAGTATCATCAGTAGCATCATCATCCTCAACATCGTCCTCATCATCCTCATCATCATCGGCATCGTCGTCAACATCCTCATCATCCTCATTATCCTCACTATCCTCCTCATCCGCATGGTCATCCCCCCCCTCCTCCTCACCCTTCTCATCCTCCTCCTCATCCTCTTCCTCTTCCTCCTCCCCCTGTTAACCATACCCATCATCACCACCACCAGCACCACAACCATCATCAGAACAATAACCACCACCATCATCACCATCATCATCGTCAACATCGTAACTACCATTATCACCATCATCAACATCACCGCCAGCATCATCATAAGCATAAACAGTATCATCATCAGCATCACCATCAGCATCATCAGCATAATCATCACCAACAGCATTCTGAGTATCGTCATCATCACCACCATCTCAATCATCAACAGCATCATCATCATAATCAGCTTAATCAGTATCAGCATCGCCATCATCATCGGTATTATCAGTACCATCAAACCCAGCACCAGCACCACCACTGTCAGCATCATCTCCACAACCAGCATCATCATCAGCATCATCATCATCGCCATCAGCATCACTACTATCACCATCACCATCAGCACCATCATCAGCATCATCATCACAACCATGATCATCCACCACCAACCACCACCATCACCGTCACCACCACCACCATCATCATCGTCACAATCAGCATCATCATCACAATCAGCATCATCATCAGCATCATCGTCATCAGCATCATCATTATCATCATCGGCATCATCAGCATCGTCGTGATCATCACCATCAGCACCATCACCATCACCATCACTATCACAATCATCATCATTATCAGCATCAGCAATCATCACAATCGCCATCATCATCATCGTCACCATTACCATTATCATGATCTATCACACGTACCTATCATCATCCCTGTAAGCACTATCCTCATCCTAATCATCATCCTCATCATACTCATCATCATCATCCACATCATCATCATCCACATCATCATCCACATCATCATCATCACCATCATCCTCGTCATCGTCGTGATCATCATCATCATCAGCATCAATATCATCGTCAGCATCATCCTCATCGTCATCATCATCATCATAATGATCCTCAGCATCACCGCCACCACCACCACCATCATGATTATCGTCGTCGTCCTCATTATCATCGTCATCATCATCATCATCACTATCATCAGCATCAGCGTAAGCATCGCCATCAGCATCATCAGCATCATCAGCACCATCAGCATAATGATCAGCAGCATCAGCATCATCATCATCATCACCACCACAATCATCATCACCATCATCAGCACCACCATCATCATCATCAGCGTCATCAACATCGTCAGCTTCATCATCATCATCAACCTCATCATCATCATCCTCATCACCGCCATCATCATTACTATCATCCTTATCCGCAGATTCATCCTCATCCTCATCATCATCATCCTCATCATTATCATGCTTCTCCTCATCCGCCTCATCACCAACCTCGTTACCGTCCTGTCCCCTGGACGCCCCCAGGCCCCGGATGCTTCCGGACGCCCACCACGATGGCATGAGCGCCCACCATAAGGCCACAGGCACGTACCAAAGCCTTGCATTCTGCAAGGGCGCCTAACTTCGCGCTTCGCGCAGCGCGAAGCGCTCATAACTTCGCGCTCTCGCGCCGCCCCCCCAGGTAGAAGAGGAGGATGAGGAATCGGAGTCGAACAGCGAAGCGCGAATAGCTTCACGCCCTCGAGAGCGCCTTTGCTCCTGGAGCGTCAAACGTTAGGCCACCCGCCCTCGCACGCCACGAGCCGCGAAATGCTCGTCGCGCGCCGTTCGCCGCGCCCTCCCGCCCTCCCGCCCTGGAGAAAAACTGCCCTCTGGCACGAGCCGAGACGAGGGAGCCGTGACTTCAGTGAACCCGTACAGTAAGAAGGCGCGGTAAGGATGCAAGGGCCTTGGAGGGCCATGTTGACGTTGTTCGAACGAGGTCGGCCAGCGAAAGTCGCAAACGGCGGGCCGAAGGGGCAAGGATGCACGGGCAACCTTGGAAATTCACTCATCCTCGCGCTCCTGCAGGCGGTCAGGGGGTGTTCGTTTGGCCGGCCACGGGTCGATCACGCTGAGCCGAATCTCATTTTAGCGCGTGCCTGGAGGATCGTCCTTAAGCGTGTGATTGCTGCGGGTCCGTATCGACTCCATGCCGTTGGTAGTATTCGACCTCAAAAGTCCCCGCGCTGGAATCGCCCGTGCGTTGGCAGTTCGCGAACCGAACTGCCGTAGGATATCGTGCACGTGTCAGCCCCCGCCCTTCCTCCCTACCTCAGTCGGTCCGCGGGCAACGGATCCAGGACTTCGAGGCAAGTCCAGCCGTGGCGACGGGAGCGCCACTGCAGGCTCAGGAGGGCGAGAAGCGCATCGAGAAACCTGGGTCCCATCCTCGGATCGACCCTCGCTCATCCTCGACCCTTCGGTCCCCAGACCCCTCCCGAGGTCCACCCTGGGCAGCTGTCGGGCCAGGATCGGCCAATTACTGGCGGCCTCATGGTCCGAAACTGGCCCCCAGAGAGGCCGAACTCCAAGAGAAACCTTGGGCTCGAGTGTTGCGAGCGATGGTGCGAAGCTCCAGGGTGCGAGAGATATGCGAGCGATGTGCGAGGCTCCAGAGGGGCGTGCCCATCCAGGAGGTGTTCAACGGTCTCATGTGGAGAGGGCAGGTGCTTGTTTGTTTCCCCCCCCTCAGGCCTGAAATGAGAAGGTAGGGGAGACGAGGAACGAGAAATCAGGGGTATAATCGGAAGGCGGAGGTGCGGCCAACCCCCGAGATGAGACGTCGCGAAACAAATCACGACAAGAGCCCAAACCACACTGTTTCTGCTGCGTTTCTCAAACGGGATCGACACGTGAAGGCCCCAGTGCCGTAAACCAGGCGAAGACGCTCAGTGTGAAATCACCATGCGACGTACCCAACCGATCTGCAACAAACGATAACACAACTGCGCCCATTAGATTGCGGCATCCCACATGACACGGGACGCAATGCGCTGTGAGAGCTGCCTAAAAGGGGATCTGCGCGTTGCATGCCTCCCTGAATAGGCAGGGCCCAAGGAGGCGACGTCTCTCTGAAGGGGAAACCGACATGTACCGGCACTGCTACTCCCCAGACCTCTCCTGGGGTGCGCTCTGACCAGGACTTCGAGGCGAGTCCAGCGGTGGCGACGAGGGCCTCCCAGGAGGCCCAAAAAGGGGAAAACGAGGGAAGGGTAGTATTATGGGTACCTTTTCCTGTTCCGACATTGGATCTGCGTAGGACACTACTCCACTGGATCTCGCAAGGGCTCACGAGCCGAAATTTGCGCGACTGGAAGCACCCAAGCGGGCATAAGACAACACTCCGTGGGACCTCCGAGGGGCCCACGGAAGTGACGACGGTTGCGCAATTGGCAGCTCCCAGAGAGACAAGGTCTCACTTCGATCCGCGTAGGACACTCTGCTGAACCTCCCATGGGCTCACGAAAATGGCGACAGATGCGCGGTTGGCAACGTCCAGGAAAAGCGAATTCTCTGTTGCATCCGCGTGGGACACCACTCCGTTGGGTCTCCCATGAACTCTCGAACATGACGACTGTTGCGCAGTTAGTAGCGCCCAAGGATAACGAGGTCTCGTTGGATCTGCGTGGAACACCACCGCGCTGGACTTCCCAAGCAACTCAACACATTGGCGATGGCTGCACCGACCATTGGCGCGAATTCTCCCACGGATCTGCGTGAGACACCACTCCGCTACACCTCAAGGACTCGCGAAAGCGGCTACACCTCCGCAGCGGGCAACCCCAATGAGGTAGCGAGGCAGGAGGCATTCCCGGGACAGGTAGGAGGATAAGGCAGGAGGAGATAACCACGAGAATGGAGGAATGCGGAACATTGAAGGGGCCCTGGGACACACAAATAAATACACACAAATAAAATGATTCCCCATATTTTCCTATATTTTCTGGGTTGTTATCTTCCCCTCACTTCCCATAGTTCCCCATATTTTCTAGGGAACCGACGATTAATTGTGTCTGCGATTTTTTTTCCCTCCTGAAGCATGGAGGACGTGGCGGCAGTGATTTAGCCAGAGCGGAGGCCCAGGGCAGCAAGGCTTTAGGGAAGACTGCGACGTCCGGGAATCTCAGGGGGCGGGGCGGATCGCCTTGTCGTAGGCCTCCAGCTCCGCGTTGCTCCTGGCAGCCGCCACCCAGTGCGCCAGCGCCGCGCCCCCCCTCCCAGGCGGCCGACGACGAGGCGTGGACAGAAGGTTGCTGCGAGTTTGTGCCGCAGCGACGTGCGCGGCGGCTTCTGACACCGCGTGGATCGTTCAACACGATCGCGGAACTTCCCGATCGTGCAGGATCGCTCAATGGCGGCCGATTCGGGGCCACTGGCGGCGTCCAACTCTGAACGCCCGCGCTGGGGTCGCCGCCGCGTCGACACGACACGAACCTCGGGCAAGGGCATCGCGCCCAGACCTCCAACTGAGAATATCAAGATGGAGGAAGTATTCCACTGCTTTCGCCACCTGGGGGCCTTCGCTTGGCCCAGGGCCTTCTAAGACACGATCCAGGATGAGAAGCCGGTCCTGGGGACACCCCATGGTCGGGACTTCGGGGGTGGCATGTTGAAACCTTTTCCGTCGGCGACGAGGCGGAGGCAGTCCGCACCAGCGTGTGGCGAATGAGGGCAACCGACCGGCGAGTTGTCCAGCGTGCAAGAGGAAGGAGCGAAAGCAAGGCATGTCGGCACACATTCACACACACATCAACGTATATCTCGGCGGAGATACTCAGACGCAGACCTCCGACGCCCGTACAAAACATCGAAGCGGGCGGTTTGCCGAACCTTCGGCGCTGGCCTCGAGCCTCGGCGGTCTGCCGCACATCTTGGGCTGGCCTGGCCTCCAGGGGCCCGCTTCGCGCCTCGGGACAGCGAGACGGGACTCGGGATGAGAGGAGGGTCCCAGGAGGAGGAGGAGGAGGAGGACGAGGAGGAGGAGGAGGACGAGGACGAGGGGGAGGAGGAGAAGGAGGAGGAGGAGGAGGAGGACGAGGACGAGGAGGAGGAGGACGAAGAGGAGGAGGAGGAGGAGGAGGAGGAGGAGGAGGAGGAGGAGCGGGTGCCCCCATGAGCCTCTCGGGAGGGGGCCGAGATCCCGAGGGGCCCCCTTCGCGGCACCGTCGGGGAAGGGCGTCGTGGAGGCGCTCAGGCAGGGCCCGCAGCGCCGAGGCCGCGGAGGAGGCGGAGGAGGCGGAGGAGGCGGCGGAGCTCGGCAGGTACACGAGTCTGACAGCTAGCTTGCGGGGCAATCGCTGGACAGCTCAAGTGCCTCGAGTGCGCTAATCGATAGCGGAGGAGGGGGGATGAGGACCGCGAGCGGAAGGGATGAGAAAGTACGTCTCCCCCCGCCCCCCTGCTGCCTTGCAGATGAGGGGGGTGCCTGGAACACCACGAACCCTCCACCTCAAAGCACCAAGAAACTGCGGGGAGTCTCTGGCGACCCCCCTCCTCCATCTTCCTCCTTCCTCCTCCTCCTACCTTCGCCCTCCCCCGACCTTCTCCCACATCTCTCCTCCTCCTCCTCCCTCCTCCTCCTCCTCCTCCTCCTGCTCCTTCATCCTCCTCCTCATCATCAAATTTACCATTATCATGACCATCATCCATATCCCCATCCCCATCCGCATCATCACCATCCTCCTCATCCTCCTCCTCACCATCCTATTCACAGAGGCCATCATCAACATCCTCCTTCTTCTCCTCCTCCTCCTTCTCCTCCTCCTCCTCCTCCTCCTCCTCTCCTCCTCCTCCTCGTCATCAGCCACCGCAACGCCCGCTGCTGTTGCGAGCGCGCCGTTATATATATATATGTGTGTGTGTGTGTGTGCGACGTTCTAGTTCACCGAGACCGCACACTGGTGCGCCTGACTTCTCCATTCTCCATTATCCCCCTCACCTTCATATCGTTATCATTCTGATTATCGTCACCGCCGCCGCCGCCGCCATTGCCGTTGCCATTCCCATCGTCATCATCATCGCCGTCATCATCAGCATCATCATCATCATCAGCATCATCAGCATCAGCATCAGCATCAGCATCATCATCCTCATCCTCATCCTCATCCTCAACATCATCCTCATCCTCCTCCTCCTCCTCCTCATCATCGTAATCGCAATCATCATCATAATCAGCAGCATCATCATTCTCATCATCAACATCATCGTGATCATCATCGTCATCCGTAGCATCCGCATAACCAACAGCAGCAATATCAGCATCAGCATCAACACACAGATCCGCATCATTGTCTTCATCATCAGACTCCTCATTCGCATCATCAGCAGCATCCTAATAGTATTGAGCATCGTCATCATCAGCATCATCATCGTCGTCACCAGCATTATCATCATCATCAGCACCATCATTAACAGTCACATCATCATCGGCATCATCAACATCACCGACGCAACCATCATTATCACAATCATGATCATCAGCAACATGATCCGGATCATCAACACCAGTATCAGCACCATCCTCCTGATTATCACCATCAGCATCATACTCATCATCGGCACCATCATCACCATCACCATCGTCATCCACATAATCGTCTTCACCATCAGCATATGCATCATCATCATCACCAGCAGCATCATCATCGTCAGCATCAGCTTCGTCATCATCGTCATAATCATCACAACTATCACCAGAATCATCATCGTCGTCATCATCACTAGCATCATCAACACCATCATGATCACCATCATCACCATCACCAACCCCAATATCATCAACATCATCATCAGCATTTGCTTCATCATCAATATCATCAGCAATATCACCATCATCATCACAACCAGTATCCCTCCACCACTCCACCATAATCAGCAGCATCATTACGATCAGCATGATCATCATCATCATCATCAGCATCATCATCATCAGCATCGTGATCATCGGCACCATCATCATCAGCAGCATCATCACCGTCACCAACACTAATACCACCACCAACACAACACCAACACCACCACTATCATCATTAATACAATCATCAGCATCATCGTCCTCATCATCCTCATCACCATCATCTACATCACAAGTATCATCACAATCGTCATCATCATCCTCGTCCTGATTAGAATCCTGATTATCATCCTCGCATCATCAGAATCACCATCGTCATCGTCATCGTCGTCGTCATCGTTATCGTCATCGAAATCGTCCATCGTCCATCGTCCATCGTCCATCGTCATCGTCCTTTGTCCATCGTCCATCCTCCTCCTGCTCTTCCTCCTCATCCTCCTCCTCCTGATCATTGCCACCATCATTACCACCATCGCACTGATCATTACCACCACCACCATCATCATCACCATCATCACCATCATCATTCCCCTCCTTCTCCCTCCTCCCACTCCCTCTCCTCCCTCTCTGCCCTCTCCCCCCTCCTCCCTCCGTTTTGCGGTTGGCGCATCTGGGATGAATCCGTTCGAGCTCCGCGCTGCTCCCGGGGACCGCCGCCGCGCTCGCTCGGGACACGCAGGAGCCACCCTGGGCAAGGGCGACCTCTGGTGCGCGGCCCGCCGACCGCTGCGTGCGGTACTGTCCGATAGTGGCCGCCTGCGCGCCTGGGCATTGGCCCCGCCGCGCCCCCCGAGCTCCCCGCACCAGAGGTCACACTCCAACGAGGAGCCGCTCGTACGCTACACGCTGGTCGACGAAAGCGGGCAGTTCTGGATTCCCGGATCCCAATCGACCTCCAGCGCCGCCCTACTTCAAGAACCGACATGCGTTTGCTGTGCTCTGTCATTCCCTGGGAGGGCCTGAACCCAGCCTAACTCATCCGCCTTCCTACCTCTCTTCCGACCGACGTGCACGTGAGAGATCGACGTCCGAAAAGGTTCTGCATTTCCCGCCTCTGGCTGCCCGTTTACGGCCCCAGGACCGTGAGAGATAGACCTATAATTAAAAACTGACTTCAGAAGAGGTCCAGCATCGAGGATCGAGGATCGAGGTTTGAAGATTCGATGGGTTCCATCCTTTCTCATTATGTTTGGTCATTCTGTTTGTGAGTCCGGAAGGACTCTCGTCGCCGTACGGCTGCTCTCGCCTCGAAATTATGGCCAGATCGTAACCCAGAAGAGGTCCGCGGGAATCGATTCTATACTCCCGGCCCCTGATCACGCAGGACCAGTCAACATCGAATCGGGAAAACGAATCGAATCTCGAATCAGAACGCGCGTCTGTCTGCGCCACGATGCACGACGATGTCATGCATGCATCGGGCCGCATCGGATCGCTGGGTCATCGGAATCTAATCGCATCGAGCCTTCTGGAACCGATATCGAATCGGATCGATCGGATCGAAGTGGAGTCTGCCCAACCACGTAGCAATTATGGACAACTCACGACGGAACGTTGCTGGCCAATTTCGGCCTCCACAAAGCAGCCCCGGTCGCGCCCCTGGGACCGCCCAGAGCGCCTCGAGGGTAAAACGCTGGTCCCGTGGAAGGCGTCGAGACCACGGGGGCTCCAGGCAGTGGCATCACGACGTCGGGGATCCGCACGGGTCCGACGATGCTTGTCCCAATCCGCTGGATCCCTTCCCCAAACAAAGGGGGTAGTGTGTGTCGCCCTGGACACATCTTCCCAGAGCCTGGTGCCGGCTCCCAGGGGCCGACACCGACGGATGAGGCCAGGGATCGAAGCATGTCAGCCCGCGAGGCAAACGAGCACGCGGGTCTCTGGGGCGCTGTCCGAGCTGTCGGCCGCGGAGCTGCCGAAGCCTGGCGTCCGAGCGGCGTCGGAGGCGCCACCTCCTTCACCCAGCAGACGATGCCACCGAGATGTCTTGGGCGGCGGCAGCAGGCGGTGCGAAATCCAGGGAGGGCTGGCCACCACCACGTCAATGTGGGTGTACCAATCAAAGAAAACAGAACGCCTCAGGGTCACGATGCCGTGATTTTCGACCCGGTCTGGAAGCGGCAGATGTTGCTCAATGGATTCAGGGACTGATCTCTCCACTTCGTCAGGGAGTCTGACAACTTTGTGAGTTGCTGGGCACTTGAAAACAAATCTACGAAGGGGATTCGAGGATCGGGGATTCGGGACTTGAGAACCGAGGAATTGACATAGGTTGACACCTGTCATGTTTCATCTATTTGACCCCATGCGAGACCTCCTGGAACCTCTGACGCCTTCGGGAGTACCTCTGCACCTCCGGGGGGGGCGGGGAGGGGAGGACGAGGAGATGATGAGAAGGGGAAGTGTCAGGATGAGGAGATGGGGACCTCCGGAGACGGGGAGGTGCCAGGACGAGGAGACGGGGAGGAGGTTGGGGGACGGGGGGGGTGCGGGCGGGTGGGTGGGACGAGGAGGACAAGGCAAGGAGGACGAAGGGGCGAATCGAATGGAGTGAAGAGTGTGCAGCAATTGCCGCAACCAGGACGTAAGGGACGGCCCGAAAGCCGCAGCCCCTCCCGAGCCCAAGGTGGTCCTTATTCCGCGTCTTGACTGTACGTACTCCCGCAGGCCAGATGCCTACAACGCTGGTCGGGGCCTCCAAGGCGATGGACGCCTGCGGCCGAGCGAGCCCCAGCAAGGGCACCAGATGCACCAGCTCGTGGGCCGGACCCGCTGGACTGGGATTCGCAAGTGGCGGCAGGGCCCTCCCATGTGAGGGCGGAGAGGTGCCGACACCGCCGCTCCCGGGGACCTCATCCCGGGGTGCGTCCTGACCAGAAGCTCGAGGCGCGAGCCCAGCCGTGGCGACAAGGGCCTCCCGGGAGGCCCAAACAGGCCAGAACGGGGGAGGCGCATCGGTATCAACATCGGTACCTTTTCCTCCTCTGACCGCCCGCGCGTCCGCGGACCCAGGCCATCTGACCGCGCGCGTCGCGCCCCGCGACGCGCGGCCAACTTCGCGCCCTCGGGCTCTCGCGCCGCGACGCGCAAAGCGCGACCATCTGCACGCCCCCGCGGATGCCCTTCTGGACGCGCACGCGTGCGGCGGGGCGCGCGGCGCGGGGCGGGGGGTGTCCACTTGTGCTCGGCGCCCGTGGCGTGCCAGTTGCCCTTGGCGGGGGCGGGCGGCCTGTCCGGCTCGAGCGCGGCGGCGGCGCTGTCCTGCGGACGCCGCGGGGAGAGAGGGGGGGAAGGCCGCTCTCGTCGGCTGTCACCGTCCCTGCCACCGTGGCCGCGGCCGCCGTCGTCGGCCCCGCCTCCACTTCTGTTTCTGCTCGCCCTCGTCCTCCTCCGCGTTTTCCTCCTCTTTCTTCCTCCTCCTCCCTCCTCCTCCTCCTCCTCCTCCTCCTCTCCTCCTCCTCCTCCTCCTCCTCCTCCTCCTCCTCCTCCTCCTCCTCCTCCTCCTCCTCCTCCTCCTCCTCCTCCTCCTCCTCCTCCTCCTCCTCCTCCTCCTCCTCCTCCTCCCCCTGCCCCTGCCCCTCCTCCTCCTGCTCCACGGAGGGGTAAGGGGAGCAAAGCCATGCACGGTAGGTCTAGTCACGAGTCGATCCCCTAGACGGTTCCCTTCGCACGTCTGCGCGACGTCTGGGTTCGCCGTCGCTCGGGGGCAAAATTGGTTCTGCCAGAGGGGGTTCCCCCTGTCTTTTGAAGGTTGATCCGCTCCCCCACGAAGTTGGGTCGCGCAGAGTTCATGGCCAGTTTTATGGTGTGATACTCGAGTAGTTTATGTGGACTCCCCGCGCATTGTTCATTGCTTATTGCTCCTCCTCTTCCCTCCTCCTCCTCCTCCTCCTCCTCCTCTCCTCCTCCTCCTCCTCTTCCTCCTCCTCCTCCTCATCAGCATCAGCAAGCTCATCCTCTTACGCCAGCTCTTCCTCCTCTTCCTGCTCTAATGTTTCCTGTTCCTCCTCCTCTTCGCTCCTCCTCCTCCTCTTCCTCCTCCTACGCCTTCTCTTCCCTCTCCTCCTCCTCCTCCTCCTCCTCTTCCTCCTCGTCCTCTTCCTCCTCCTCCTCCTCCTCCTACCCCCCCCTTCTTCCGGACATCCGTCTCACGGTCGCGTTTCCCTCCCCGCCTCCCCACCCCTTCGCGCTATCCTCAGCTGCTCCTGGCACAAACCCTCCCACCATGCAGCATCCATGAGAATACCGCATACCCTTCCATTACACATTCTTTGTGGCCTCGCCGCATACGATCTCGGGGCAGGAACGCCACGGGACGCACTCGCCCCACGTGGGCCCATGGGTTCTTTTCTCAGATTAGCACTTTACAACCCTCTATCTCTGGTGGAAGTGGACCGACCTTCCCAGATATGGAGAGAAATACACGCAGATATAATCGGCTTGGCTGGCACTCGGATCCGATCACCTCAAAGCTATCCCGTTCAAGAGTGGCAGCTCGAAGGTGGAGGTTTCGGACTATCCGCAGGCTGGGCAGCGGCTCCTTTTTCGAATCGATCGGCAGGTTGTATGCTGATGATGACGCAGAGGATGCGCAAGGGGATTCGGACGATCACGACACCGCCATCGTCAGCGCAGGGCCGTGGCCTCGCTGTGCGGATCGTTTGCGGCTCCCTCGATTTGACTAATAGTGCTGCTGTACCTCCCCCCGCTGAAGGACGACAATGCCCGCAAGAGACGGGCGCTGATAAAGGGGTCAAGTGAGCTGGTTCACTGGGCGATACAACAGATCAAGGCGGCGCCAGCCAGATCGACCCCGATCGTGATGGGCGATTTGAACACGGGCTTAGGCCTAAGGAATGGCTCGCTACTGTCCCCCCCGCAATTCGAGATTGAGGCGAGGGACTCCCTGGACAACATCGGCAGCTATAACTTGGGCAACCACAACGTCATTGGCGACCAGATCTGGGAAGACCTGATTCTACCACATGATATGATGAATGTTGGCAGCTTCTATGACAAAGCTGGGCCTACTTACTATCACTTTGATGGATCGACGAGCACAGTGGACCACATTCTGATGTCATTAACGATTCATGATCAGATTAAACGAAGTTTTATACCATGGAGTTCGGCTCGGCGTTTACAGCTGATACCGAGCGCATTGCCGAGAGACCACGTTCCCATCATCGTGGCGGCCTATCAACACCGTAGCCAGGCCCCCGACTTCTTCCGCTGGGATCGCGACAAGCTGGCAACGGCCTTGCAGGAAGGTACCAACCGTCTGGAGTTCCAGGAAGATTTGGAGACCGCGTTTACCCAGTGTACGGAGCTGGCGCAATACGGCGCTGGTGGGGACATCGACAAATATTGGCAGACTTGGGTCACCCTAGTGAGGAAGTGTGCACAACGTTTTTTCGGCCAAACTCGCCGCACCGAACACCCTGAGGCTGTCCGTCTTCATGAACGACGTCGCGAGCTGGTACGACTCCGAGCTGCGGCTCGAGAACGGCTGGGGGATCAGGGCGAGGAGTACGCAGGCGTTCTGAGGCACCAACCGATTCTCTTTCCTGAATACCAGGGGCTGCAAGATATCCGCACCACCCTTCGTCAACTGCGACGACGGGAACTCGCGGAGCGACGGCGACGACTCGACCGCGACATTCACGAGGCCCACCGCCGCCGTCGCTTTGCGGAGGTGCATAGTCTTTTTGTTCCTGCTGGCAGCTCGTTGCGGGGGACCCCGCAAGAGGAAGTACCGTGTCCCCACACCCCAATCGTCAAGGGAGGAGTGGAGGAGATATCTGGCGGGGTCGCTGTACGAGGGAGGCATGTACGCCCAGGAGGTCGATTACGCGAACGAGCTCGAGACTAGGCCAGAGTTTTTCGACGCGACCGAGATGTCTTCCGAAACCTATGAGGAGCATTGGTTTTGGGCCGAGGGAGACATTCGAGCCACCATCAGGTTCCTAAAAAAGCGCCCAAAAAGACGAGCTGCCCCTGCCTGGAGTGTACCGACAGAAGTCTTCCTGATGGCAACTGAATCTAGCTGCGCTTCACGGGCGGATGAGCCCCGATTAGGACTGGGAGCTGAACGAGTAGGTGAGATACCCCCATCGCAGGCGCACACCCACTTGGAGCACCTACACGGGTGGATTCGAGTCCTGAAGCGTGCACCGAAACTGGCCCACCTCTCCTGGGGATGCCCGATATTGAAGCCGAATGGGAAGCATGGTCCTAGGGGAAAACGACTTATACACGTATGTTGTCCCTACTGGAAGGGCTTCTTTGGAGCCGCCATGCGTCGAGGTACGCAGTCACGAGCCCAGGACTGGCCCGCCAATTTCCATGGTTTTCTGCCCGCACGGCGTCGTGAAGACGCTCTCGCTGTTCAGCTCTGCGTAGGACATCGGCTACGGAAGCGAAAGCAAGCCCATCTTAATAACCTGCACGATATGTCAAACGCTTTCGCTTCCACCACACCCGAAGCTCGTCGGCGAGCGATCCGGGATCTCGTCCTTCCCCGAGATCAAGAACTTTTTGAACACCGAGCGGAGCACGCCGCTATCTTCTTGGGGTTTGTCGACGGGGGGGACGAGCCATGGAGGGATACACGGAACCTAGTCATTCGACACAGATGTGGAGGGCTGATGGGATCTAGCGAAAAGCCCGTGATCTTCGCCAATATTATGCAACGACCATTCCACGCCTGGCACTCGACACGACCAGCGGAGCTGGCCATTACACTGCAGTGTGGTATCTTCCCACGCCAGATTGGCGGCGGCACAAGTGTCTTTGCTGATGGCATCGTTGATAAAATTATTGTACGCAGTGGCGAGGCTGGCGAGGCCCATCTTCTCACGCAGCAGAGCGATGCGACCCTGGACGAGGAGTTGCGTCAGGTAGGCCTTCTCCAGAGTAAGGGGAAGCGTGAAATTGTGCCAAGCTTCCATCGGTCCCAGGAGACTAAGAGGTTTGAGGAGCTCACACAGGAAGGGAAGGTTTTACCTCGGGCACGGTATCTTGGAGGTAGATATGCTTGGAACCTTGCGACGATGGAGGAGCTACAGTTTAGGTGTTCTGCTATGAGAGTGGGTTGGGCTAAAATGGGAAGTCTGTGGGGAAGCCGTATTTCAAGCAAGCTGAAGCTTCTGGCATTCCAGGGACACGTTATTGAAGCGGGCTTATCGGCGAACGAGGCCTACGTACTCTCGGAAAAAATGACCAACCAGATGGACACTATCGTAGCTAAGTGCCTAAGAGCCTTGGACTGGAGTGGCAGCCATCGGACTGGAGTGGCAGCCATCCCCAGAGCCTCCCTCACGCAGTGCTTCGACGTAGGTGGAAGGTGGTTCCTACTAGGTGCGCACAAGCCTCTAGACGCTTCGCCTGGATCCAGAAGATGGCCCGAGACCCCAAGTCACACGCCCAGGTGATCGCCGCTCTTTAGGGAACCCTCAATGATGGACCTCCCGCGCTGGACCCACAAGGACGCCTCACACGAGATGCCCCACCCTTGGCGCACCAAGTAGAAACCGACTTGTGGCTGTACGCGGGTATCAGTGGCACTGAGGATTTTTTCGAGCGATGGAGTGAGCACGGCTACTCGTACATCGCATTATTCGATGACGACGGGGTGCGAGATGCTTGGCTTCGCATCGACCCGTCGATCCTTAAGGCAGCGATCCTGACAGAGGGCGAGACTGTCTTTTTTCAGAATCTGCGAGGACCTGCTCGCGTTGTGGCGCCCCCGACTGAAGAAGGACAGACGGCGTTTGTGCGCACGCTTCGCGACGAGAACGGGGCCCTCTGTTGCCAGACCTTCGAGACCCACGGGGCCCTCACAGCCCATATGTTCCAGTCTCGGGGTGGTGAGCATGCCAAACGAAACCCGCTATTTACGTGTGTGATCTGTAATCAGTGCCCATGGTGCCGTTCGACTTTCTCGACACGTGATAGTGCCCGACAACGCGTTCGATCGTCCTGGGAGAGTCTGAAATGCTACCTCGGTCGGTCTCGTTCCCCGTGGCCCCTGTGCACCCCCAGCGCCATCAAGTGTGCCTACTGCGACGAAACCTTCGAAACCGTGGACGAATATAACGTACATGCCGTGCAGCAACACCTTCCTCAGCCCTCGCCCGTGGCAGTTTCTCCTCAGGCACTTCATCGCGCCCCGACGCCCGCCGACAGCCGGCCACGCCTGGGTCGCCCACCCAGACCCGACAGTGATGGTCGGACCTCCAGGCGGCGCCGCGGCGGCGGTGGCAGGCGAGGGGGACAAGGGCGGAGTATCCCGACGTGCTCGACAGCGCGGAGATGGCGACAAAAAGACCGACCTCGGCTTCAAGGGCCAGAAGATGATGCAGGTGCTGATTACCAAGTTTCTGCTGCAGCTCGGTCAGATGAACGTGGAGGGGATCGCCTTCGACCGTCTCCTGATCGACACAAGCAACCACGAAGCGACAAGGATGAGCGAGTGGGGCACGAAGTACTCGGACGCGGTCGCAGCCCAGGACCGAGGCCACTGCCTCGGACCACATCACCTCTGGGTCTTCGGCGGCCTACTGATGGGCTCGATGGAGCGCATGGAGGTAGTGGGGGCACAGAAGCTAACCGAGCTGAGGACCGAGAAGATGGAGGCCATCGCCAATGCCGACAAGATCCGAATCTGCAAAACGGACAGATACTACGACCAGAAAGTGATGCTGTACCTCGACCCCGCGATCCCGATCATCCTCGACGGCCTGGCCCAGACAGACGAGAAGCTGAAGCAGGGCCGTGCGCCACCCACCCACAGGGAGGGGGAACTCCAAGAGAGGATCGAGGCGTACACGGACGCGTGTGCGCTGACGGCGATCGAGGAGCTACACTAGTGGTGAGTGCTGCGGGAGGGGCTCGAAGCGTTCACGACGTTGTGAGTGCTGATAGGGATCGAGGCGTCCCACATTTTGTGAGTGCTGATAGTGTTTGGTGCGGTTCTTCCCATGATACTGATATGGTGCCACTACCTGACAATGAGCGGGTACAACGATCATTGTCTTCCTTACTCCGAGCTGCGACGAGACCCTCGGCCTCGACTGCGGCGCCCCCCTCTCCCTTGGCCAGAGCTACACGACCTTCAACAGTGGCCTCGATTATCGGGCCTCGGTCCTCCCGTGCCACTACGACTCCCAGGGCTGCTACGCGTCCCAGGGGAACGACGACGGCCACCCCCGCCTCTTCGGCGGTGCGGAGGCCCCGCACTCGCAGTTCTAGACGGGGACCGTCCTCGTTGACGGCTGAGTTCTGGGAAGCTAGAAAAAATGAGGCCCCTGACTCAGTATGTGTAAATACGCACCTTGAAAGTCGGGGGATCCACAAGAGGCACCCCAAATATCAAATCATGTTTCAGAGCCAGCAGATTCTGACACTAGCTAGAAGAGAATTCGAGCAGGTGCAGACCTAACCCCCTCTCGGGCCCCTGGGCCCTCGTGTCGTCGTCGTTCGTGCCGCCGTCTGTCTGTCGTGTCGTCCCGCTCCCTTGCTCCTGTTGGGCCCCGTTTTGGGTAATGCGTTCCCGTGACGGTCCCTGGGGCTCAGGACGCTAGCCTTCGGCGTAAGCCTCGGAGGCACTCCAGCCCTGGGCTTGATCCCACTTCCTGGGATTTTCCTCCGAGCCTGGTTTCAACCCGTAGTTGACCAAGACAAGAGGTTCTCTGGAGCTCTGATCCTGATCCTGATCGCGCTATCCTCCAACAGTTCGGGCCCATCCCCAGGCCCCGTTCCTGTTTTCCTTTACACCCCCATTCCGCCCCGAGTCCTCCCCACTTCGCCACCGACACAATCACAATCACTTTGATGATCCCCCTTGTTCCCCCTTCTCCCCCCCCCTTCGGATCATCCACTCGCATGCATCCGCAATCCTCGTGTGTCCCTGGTGGTGATCATCCGCCACCTTTACGTTCAATTCAACCTCCTTCCGGTCGCGCAACATCCAAAGGATGCCCAACCGACCGTCCACTGACCGCCCACACTTCCAAGCGCACTCCTTTTCCGTGCACCACTTTTGCCCCCCTTTCGCCTCATCTGGCAAAACGTGCGGGAAGTACCCATGGTCTATGGGACGCGCACAAGATTGATGGGGGGTGCTACACCTTCGACATTACTTAAGGACGTGCACAGCTCGTCGCATCATCATGGGTTACATCCAAGCCGGACGGTTGTCCAACAACGGTACAACGCATCCGTGCGGGAACCGCGTGAAACTGATGCGCTGCGCGCGGACACCGCGCTGTCGCCCGCACAGGGCGACGCCAGGGAAGAAGACATGGAGGGCAGAATAATCACAATACGTCGAAGCAGGCGACGATCCATACCGTCAACGCCTGAGGGAGACGACAGCACGGACAAGGACGACGACCGCCACAAAAAGGGGCCTGAATAAGGCGTAGAGAGCGATAGGAGATCACGCATGCTCGGCGCCGACAAAGGCGAATGTGCCGCATCCCCCACGCAACGTCGATCCTGCGTTGCGACATCTCGCTGCCAGTGAGTGCGGCCTCAGGCTGCGGGGCGCAGCGCGGGCGCGGGAGCGGTCCGAGGCGCGCGCGGATTTGCGTGGCCGTGATGCGCGTTGAGTTGCACACGACCTCGATGGCACGCACCATGCGCGACAGCAGCACTCTCGGCCGGTCGCTCACAGACTTGGCCTGGCCGAGCTGGCCCGTAGACTTCCCACCCAGGCTCTCTCGCGCTTGGCAGTGCGGGCGCCGTGCAGGCGCGCCGCCCGGTCCGCGGGCGGACCTCGGGAGAGGAACTCCAGCCTGGTGTCGCGGGTCGCAAGCAAGTCGTCCGACGTCGTGACCCAGGGAAGCATGACGCACAAATCCGTCCATGTCGTCAGCGGCCCTGCCACCAGCGTCGACGAAGACCTTGTGGCGACGAGGTAGAACAAGGTCGACCGCTGCGCAATTGGCATCGCCCAGGCAGTGAAGTCCCCTTTCGATCGGTCCAGGTCAGCGTAGGATGCCGCCCCGCTGGAGTTCTCAGGAACGCACGAACACGTTGACAAAGGCGCAGTTGGCAGCAGCCAATGGTCTCAATAGAACCGCACTCCAGCAGATCTCCCAGGTCACGACAACGGCGACATCCACACAATGAACAGCACCCAGGTAAGCGGGCCCTCGTAGGACGGCACACCGCTGGACGTCCCAGGAGCTCACGAAGCCGCCGGCGACTGCGCAGCTGGCAGCAGCCGTGATGGGCGAGGTCTCGTTTGGGCCCACGACGGACCGCACTCCGCTGGACCTCCCAAGAGCCCACGGAACTGGCGACAAGTGCGCAGCTGGCAACACCAACGAAAAGCGAGGTCTCGTTTGGATCCCCGTAGGACCGCACCCTGCTGGGCCTCGCAAAGGCTGCGAAAAAAACTGCGGCAGCTGCGCAATGGGCAGCAACCTGGGAGGGCGAGGTTTCGTTGGGGTCCCCGTGGGAGCGCGCTCCGCTGTACCTTCCAGGATCGGACAAACTGGGCAGAAGGGGGAGGGAGGGGGAGGGCCGGTGGGGGAGACACTGTTTGAACTGGACCTCTGCTGAATGCGACTGCTTGCAACAGTGCGTCCTGTAGGGGAGACTCCAACTGCTCGAAACAGGCGCCAAAAAGAGCCAGGATCTACTCCATGGGGGGAGGGAGGGGGGGTGTGCGAGGGCCCGCGCCGATCGGCAACACAATGAACAAGAAAACGATGACCTGGTGACGGTTGCCCAGCTGGAGCGAAATCTAACCACAGTGGTGCCTCCCCCTCTTCCACGGCTGGAACCAGCGATAACCCACCTCAGCCCCCTGGCCGGCTCCAACCCTGGGATCCGACGTCAAACAATTATCCTGGCGAAGGACCCAACCATATGCAAACGTGAATACCGCAGGGAAGGTGGGACGAAGCAAAAGGAATTCCCAATATGGCCACGAACCGTGTGAGGGGTGCGCCAATATGGGGCGGGGCCGCCATGCGAACCCTGCCACTGGGGCCTTCGGTGGAGCTCCCTATGGGGCCACGAACCGTGTGAGGGGTGCGCCAAAATGGGGCGGGGCCGCCATGCGAACCCTGCCACTGGGGCCTTCGGTGGAGCTCCCTATGGGGCCACGAACCGTGTGAGGGGTGCGCCAAAATGGGGCGGGGCCGCCATGCGAACCCTGCCACTGGGGCCTTCGGTGGAGCTCCCTATGGGGCCACGAACCGTGTGAGGGGTGCGCCAAAATGGGGCGGGGCCGCCATGCGAACCCTGCCACTGGGGCCTTCGGTGGAGCTCCCTATGGGGCCACGAACCGTGTGAGGGGTGCGCCAAAATGAGGCGGGGCCGCCATGCGAACCCTGCCACTGAGGCCTTCGGTGGAGCTCCCTATGGGGCCACGAACCGTGTGAGGGGTGCGCCAAAATGGGCGGGGCCGCCATGCGAACCCTGCCACTGGGGCCTTCGGTGGAGCTCCCTATGGGGCCACGAACCGTGTGAGGGGTGCGCCAAAATGGGGCGGGGCCGCCATGCGAACCCTGCCACTGGGGCCTTCGGTGGAGCTCCCTATGGGGCCACGAACCGTGTGAGGGGTGCGCCAAAATGAGGCGGGGCCGCCATGCGAACCCTGCCACTGAGGCCTTTAGTGGAGCTCCCTATGGGGCCACGAACCGTGTGAGGGGTGCGCCAAAATGGGCGGGGCCGCCATGCGAACCCTGCCACTGGGGCCTTCGGTGGAGCTCCCTATGGGGCCACGAACTGTGTGAGGGGTGCGCCAAAATGGGGCGGGGCCGCCATGCGAACCCTGCCACTGGGGGCTTCGGTGGAGCTCCCTATGGGGCCACGAACCGTGTGATGGGTGTGCCGAAATAGAAGCATGCGGAGGGTGATGGTGATGATGACGACCATGTTGGTGCTGATGATGATGACGATGACGATGATGATGATGGTGGGTGATGACGATGATGCTGATGATGATGAGACGGAGGGAGGAGGTAGCGGGGGGAGGAGGAAGGAGGAAGGAACGCGGGGCACCGTCTCTTCAAAACGACGACCCAACACCACAGGATGGTTGGGAAAAAATAAACATCAGCAGAAATCACAAGCGGAGCCCCAGACTCCCACACCCCACCTCTCTGCTGCATGTTCCGAGCTGGATAGATTTGTGATGGCCCTGGGGCCCAACACACGGGGCAAAACCGCCAGGCGCTAACAAAAATGCGACGCCAAGATCTCAGGGAAGACGCGAGGGCAGAGGGCAGCTGTCGCCTTCCGAAAGCGGGCGGGCTCCTGGGAGCGCTGGAACGCCGTCCTCGCCCGGTCCAGCGTCAGGGCGGCCTTCGGTAGAGGCCTCCCAAAATGGGGTCCGAGTGGATGGGGTCGGAGGATCGAGCCGCATCGCCAACGCATCGCCGATGCATTGGCGATGCATCAGCAACGTTGGTGGCGTGGAGAGGCTTGGGCTCCACATCGAGCCGCATCGCCGATGCACCGGCGATGCGGCGAGATCCTCCGACCCCATCCGGGGGAACCAAAAGACACCGATACGGCTACTCCCCGGAACTCTCCCGGGGTGCGTTTTGACTAGGCTTTCGAGCCGAATCCAGCGGTGGCCACGACGGCCTCCCAGCAGGCCTCAAAAGGCGAAAACGAGACAAGGGTAGCGTTATGTCGGGCGTGTCCCACTACAGGGGGATTTTCGACGGAAAAAAAAAATACACCAAAAATAATCCATAAATAATCAAAAAATAGTCAGGGGACTATTTTTTGAGTATTTTTTTACCTTTTTGGGGTATGTTTGGGGTATTTTCTATTTTTCCTCGAGAATCCCCCTTGTAGGGGGACAGGCCAGGCGTAAGGGTAGCGGCATGGGTACCTCTGCCTCCTGCGACGCCATCTCCTCGGACCCCAGCTGGGAGGCCCAGCTTCCGGCCGGCGGCCCTCCGCACAGTGGGCACCCTGCCCCTGCGCGCTCCCTCCCCTCGCCCCGCTCGGGCCGCTCGGCCGCCCCCTCACTGCCGAGGGCCCCGGTGGCGCCCGCCTCCGCGGCCACGCCCACGCCGTGCAGAAATCACGACGGACGGTCTGGTCAGGAAAGGACCAGGACGAGGGTGAAGTCGGGTGAGGATACATCGAGAACCTCTGGAATCCGGGGGCTCTGGAGGACAGCTCGGGCGCCGCAGCCTCACCAGGGCCTTCCGGAACGCCCTGAGAGCATTCCGGAACGCTCTGGAACGGCTTCTCGGGCCGATCTTGGGCCGTTTGTTTCGGCCTCTGGGGGCGCGAGCCGGGCCCTGGGATTGTCAAAAACAGCTCGGGACGAGACGCGGGCCCTGGGGAAAGGGTCGGGACCTCTGGGGACCCCATATTGAGAAAATCAAGGCAGCTTTCGCAGTGGGGACTCGCTGATCGACAGGGGGACCAAGACGATGTCAATGAATTCTGCTGTGGGGAGCTGAAGGGCAACGATACGGGGGGGCCAACTCGAGGGGAAGCATCGACCTGGAATCGGCAATACATCGCCAGTACATCCGCGATGGCCCCGATAGGCAGTCCCGACGCTCTGCAGGGCGGGGCGGGCTACCAGGCACACATCGGCAATGAAGGGGCGATTGGGGGGTCGATGCATCCCGCCCCGAGCCTGCCTCCTCCTGGCGTTTCCTCCGAGGAGCCCATTGGCGCGCTGCGGCCCGAGAACGGCGTGCAAAGGCTTGCAAGCAGCGACGGAGCCACACGCCGACGCACTCCCAGCGGCGGCGTGCCACTGAGCTTCCCTTCTGCCCTCGCGATCGGCGGCGCGCCGAGGGGGGAAGCGATAGGGGACCATACAAGCCTGATCTCTTTGGGTGGGGGCCTCTCGAAAGCCCTGCGGCCTCCTGCAAAACCCCTCTGTGACTTGGGAAACTGCTTGGAAACCTTCTCCAGAGGGCCGGAGGCCTGCTGAGCCTTCTGGAGAGGCCCGCCCCCTCTGCCTTCCCCCCTTGGCGCGCCGCCGGGAGCAGATCGGAAGAGGGCCAGCTGGGGAAACGGCGGCTTCTCTCCCCCCCTGCTGGATCGTATTCGAAACTGTGGTCAGATCGCGCCACTGGACAGGTCAGGGCATCTACGTCTGTCACGTCGTGAACGAAAGCACGACGTGAAGTGTCTGACAAGTTTCGGCCCCAGGGGCCTGTGCCATCGACGGCGTCCAAGAGGGGGGCGTCCAACGGGGGGGGGGCGCAAATCATGGCCAGCGGCATGTGCGCAGCCCCAGGGGGGGGGGTCCAGGGACGTAACGAAATAAAAGAAGAGGTGCCATGAAATGTTGGGAGATATCATGGCCCCCGCCAAGATGCCCCCCCAATCAGCACCCCCTCTTTGCCGCCCCCGACCGAGGGAGGCAGGGGGAGGGAAGGGGAAGAGGACGAGGATGCTTCCTCCTCCATACCGTGCGAGGTTCGCCCTGCTCTCTTCTCTCCTCTTGCCTTCCTGGTTAGCAGCCATTATGTGGTGCTGGGCCCTCGTTTTGAAAAGATAGCGTCCCGCGTCTCCCATCCCACCTCCCCCCTCCTTCCATCCCTGCCTCTGCCCTCCGCATGCCCATTTCAGCACACCCCACACGAGCATCGTAGCACCATAGGAGGCTACACCGAGAGACCAAGTGGCAAGGTCCGCCGCATGCAGTTCCACCCCCCCTGTCCGCGCACCCCTCACACACTTCGTGGCCCCATAGGGAGCTACACCAAAGGCACCAGTCCCAGGGTCCACATGCAGTTCCACCCCACATGTCGGAGCACTCCTCACACGCTTGGCGGTCACATATTGAGCTGCACCGAGGGCACCAGTGGCAGGGCCCGCATGCGGTTCCACCCCACATATCGGCGCACCCCTGAAACGTTTCATGGCGCCATAGGGAGCCCCACCGAAGGCACCAGTCCCAGGGTCCGCATGCGGTTCCACCCTCCATGTCGGCGCACCCTTCACACGTTTCGTGGCCCCAGGAGGCTCCACCAAAGGCCCTAATGGCAGGGTCCACATGCGGCTCCATCCCCCATCTGGGCGCACCCCTGGCCTATTGGTTGTCATAATGGTTGTTCCGCTTGGCGCCCTTGCTCAGGCCGACTCACTGTTAATTCATCAGTTCCTGACCTTGGAAATGGCAGTCAGTCTCACAGGGGAAACATGAACCACCGCCATCGAGAACCCAACGGAGGAGCAACCCCTGGGCGGTGGCACGCATGAGCGTCGTCCTGTACAAATCCGCCGACCATGTCGGCGTGTGTGAGGGGTTTTTCCGTTCGAGCCGTCATCTCCGTCATTCTTTGTACTCGTCGTCTCTGTCCTTCCCTTTCCCTGGGAGACCTCTTCCCCTGGGCTCCAGCCAAGCCGACCTTGAGCAACCTCGTAATTGAGTCGAAGGGAAGCCCCTTCCCTTTGATCCCTCCCCCGCCGGGAGGGGGGGGGGGGTAGCGACCCCCCCCCCGGGTCAGATACGACGCCCCCCCCTGGGACTCCTCTTCCCCTGGGCTCCAGCCAAGCCGACCTTGAGCAACCTCGTAATTGAGTCGAAGGGAAGCCCCTTCCCTTTGATCCCTCCCCCGCGGGAGGGGGGGGGGGGTAGCGACCCCCCCCCCGGGTCAGATACGACGCCCCCCCCTGGGACTCCTCTTCCCCTGGGCTCCAGCCAAGCCGACCTTGAGCAACCTCGTAATTGAGTCGAAGGGAAGCCCCTTCCCTTTGATCCCTCCCCCCCCCGCCGGGAGGGGGGGGGGGTAGCGACCCCCCCCCCGGGTCAGATACGACGCCCCCCCCTGGGACTCCTCTTCCCCTGGGCTCCAGCCAAGCCGACCTTGAGCAACCTCGTAATTGAGTCGAAGGGAAGCCCCTTCCCTTTGATCCCTCCCCCGCCGGGAGGGGGGGGGGGTAGCGACCCCCCCCCCGGGTCAGATACGACGCCCCCCCCTGGGACTCCTCTTCCCCTGGGCTCCAGCCAAGCCGACCTTGAGCAACCTCGTAATTGAGTCGAAGGGAAGCCCCTTCCCTTTCATTCCTCCCCCGCCGGGAGGGGGGGGGGGGTAGCGGGGGGGGGTAGCGACCCCCCCCCGAGTCAGATACGACGCCCCCCCCCCGTACCGACCTTGAGCAACGTCGTCATTGAGTCGAAGGGAAGCCCCTTCCCTTTCCCTTCCCCGACGGGGGGGGGAGAGGAGGTCCCGGGGGGGGTCCCGGGGGAGTCCCGGGGAAGTCCCGGGTCAGATACGACACCTCCCTCCCCCACCTTCTCGTCCTTCTCCCCGTTCCCCCAAACCATCCCACAGCCCGTGCCTCTTGCTGCGCATTGCGAACAGGGTCGGCGGCACCGGCCGTCAGGCCTTCGCAATACGGGACGACGATCGGGCGTGCACAGCTCAGACGTGCCCCCCGATGAGTTCTCGGTGGCGGCGGTCCCTGTTTCTACTCTGAGCTTCTCAAGCAAACTCGGAATGCCGCTGTGTCCCGGACCTCTCCAGGACGCGTTCTGTCAGGATCCCAAGGCGAATCCCTTCGTGGCGATGAGTGAAGGACAGCGGTATCGGTCGGATTTGCCTGCACCCGAACCCGTTCTCGAGCAGGCTCTGCTGCCAAAACATTGCAGCCACGAGCCCAGCGTGGAAAAGCAGCAGAGCCCTCCAGGGGCGTCCACGTCCAGAGACGGAGGGGGTAATAAAAAACATAATACTAATACTATTCACGATCAAAATATGAACAAACATAATAACACTAAAAAAACATAAGAATAAGAGACACAAAAAGAACAATCATAAAAATAAGAAGAAGCAAAAGAAGCCATGACATCTGGGGGAATCCCATGGCACCTGCCATGATGTATTCATCCCCCCCTCGTCCTCGTCCCCCGCCTGGACGCCCCCGAAGAGCCCGCCTGCTCCCCGCTCCGCTGGCTGCGGTGCCAAGCCGCGCTCTCGTGCCTTCGGGGGCACGCCCCACGACCTGGGCGTCCGCGATACCGACAAGGTTGAGGGGCAACGATATAGGTGGGGACTGGCATAGGGGGAGACACATCGACCTGGAATCGGCGATCCATCGCCGATAGATCGGCGATAGACCCCCGATAGCGAATCAGAACGTTCCTAGGCTGGTTGGGGCTATCGGGCCCCCATCGGCGATCAATGGGCGATCGGGGGTCGATGCATCCCCCCCTGCGCCCATCCCCCCCAATCGTTGCCCCTTAAGTGTCCGCACGAGGCGGACGGTGAGCAGGTGAGCGACGAGAAGAGGTCTTGCGCGCGATGGCATAGAGACCTTACGCCGAGGCTTACGCGGGCCGCGAGCGCGGCACGCGGCATGGGAAACGAGGGCGCTGACGCACCATCTCACGCGGCCAGCTTACGCGCGAGTGCCAGCGCAGCCAGCCCCGTTCTCCGTCGCCCGCGTGCGCTCAGCACGCGGAGCCAGAGGGAGTGGATGAGGCAGTGCCCAGACCTCCCTCGCAATCAGCACGAATTAGAACCGAGAGGTCTCTCTGTCTGCTCGACCTGCGGGGGCCCTCGTTGGGCCCCGGGGCCGTCAAGAAAAACAACTCGGGACGAGAAGCCGGCCCTTGAGGAAAGCCTCGGGACTTCCACGGACCCCGCATGGCAAACACAACAAAAGCAACACAAACAACAACAACAACAACAACAACAACAACAACAACAACAACAACAACAACAACAACAACAGCAGCAGCAGCAGCAACAACAACAACAACAACAACGCCAACAACAACAACAACAACAACAACACCAACAACAACAACAACAACAACAACACCAACACCAACAACACCAACAACACCAACAACCACAACAACCACAACAACAACACCAACAACAACAACAACAACAACAACAACAACATCAACAACACCAGCAACAGCAACAACAACAACAACACCAACACCAACACCAACACCAACAACAACAACAACAACAATAACAACACTTTAAGACGGTTCGCCCTTATATGCTCGAG